GTTGCTTTTTTTCTGATCCGACCCCAGCGCCCTATCTTCCCCGTCGTTAAAAGCCATAATATCATGCCAAACAACCACTATACGCTATCAGAAACATCCTCTCAGTCTAGATGCTCTCATGGTCGCTCGTCTCGGCCCCAACATCGATAAGCTTAGAGTAGTTGCTTATCTTACGCCTTTTCCTGCCACTACGTCGAGGTCCCTGACTGTCAGATGTCCGCTGGCTCGGTACCCTAGCTTTTGAGCTCATGCTCTCATCAGTGAGGAAGCTGTTATGCAGTTGCTCCTCTGCAGCCCGGTCATTCTTATCAAGGTCGTCGGATTCATAGCTCTCATTTTTATCACTATCCGGTAACGGCTTTCTCTTGTGATCCGGCCTCTTTACCGGCAGATCCTGCAGGCCTCCGGTGGAATTATGTGTCTTCTGTCCGAGCCCATCAAATGGCGTGTTCCCAGCTATAGTAGAAGCATCAAGGGGGTCAAGCTCTTGGCTGATGGAATTTGGATCCAGGTTATTCGGACCATCCGGACTAGTCAGGGCGTACTGTGATGATCGTCAGTATCCTTTGCTACCTTTTGAAAGACTAGTATGCAACTTACAAGGTGTTTAATTTTCACCATGGGGTGAAATATTTCCCTCTTTAACCTTTGACGGACATTCTCTGATTGTGGGACGCTATACTTTGGCAACCCCCGTCGGGCAAATCCCTTGAGTTTATAGCCTGGTGTGGGTTGAACGAACCCCTTCTTCTTCAGAATGTCGGTTATTTGGATGATGGTTTGCCCGTTACAGTCTGTTCGCGGTCAGTTCGGTCCCAGCGCAGTTTTCTGTGTCGCCTTACGAAGCTTTTGTGTAAATTCTGAGATCTTATTCGGAAATCCCTCATCTAAAATGATCCTTAGAGCTCGTCTTAGGAGTACGAGGCTGTTCATTTCCTGGAGCAGCTGGGTATCATTTGGCCCCAGCAAGCACTTATAACATGCATGAACGTCAGGGATTTTCGGGTCATTCGGGCCATCGAAACCATAGCACAGGAGGTGCTGACGCGTGCCACAGAAGACACATTTTAACTGATAACATTAGCCCTGCTTCTTCAACGCCCCTATAAACGTACCATCTCTGTTTCCTCGCCGTTCCACCCACACTGACATCTGACCAGGCCTTGAGATTGGCTCTCAGAACGAGGTAGATCGAGCGTCTGCTTTTGCAAACGTAGGTGTTCTCTGATTTTTGTAATTCGTTCCTCCGGGAGAAACCACTTTGAGTCCAATTGTGTTGTAGAATCGTATTCATCCTCGATTGCGACATCAGGGTTGATGGGCTGTGTTGGTATGAGGTCACTATCAGAGTAAGAGGAAGATGCCTGGGTCTGCTTTGGTTAGAATTCGTATTCTAAACGAAGTTACAACTATCAAGATTCAGGAGCACCTACTTGCATCATATTTTGTAGCTTTCGCCTGTCGGCAATGTCTTGCGTTGTTTCTTGAAAGCTACTATCGTCATGGTACGTTAATGACCGGTCCAAAGCCAGATGATCATCTGAGTCAACGCCATTTCCTGCTTCAATGCGGCGCAAATCACTCGGCTCTTCGGCAAATCCAATATCGTCTGCTCTTGAAACCTCATCAGTGTACTCGATCTGTGAAGGTACTGTGGGTAGTGTTTCCGACCCCTCAGGGTCTGGCCCCGTCCATTTAAGAGATGTGACCCTAAGTCCAACACTGGTCTCGTTAGGTAGGAGTGATTTGATTTGGCAAGCACGGGACATGCTCACGTATGCCATCCACTGTTCATCGTCCCACATGACTGAGTCTCTTTTCTCCAGTTCTCATTAAGTGGATACCTTATCGTGTCATTGTTTGCCATAGTAAAGCCCGGAGGCTCATAATCAGAAGGGCAGTCTTCCGTGTAGAACAAGTTCACTCCCAAGTTGCGTTTATCTATATCAAGTTAGGTCATCATCTCTGTGGTTCTTGGAGGTTTGCTGTACTAGGCAGAATAGGTAGAAAGGTGCTGAGTGTTATCAAACGCCTGACTATCGTTTCCAGCCCTACCCTGGCTGATTGTGCCGATCTCATATCAGCCACGTAACCCACAGGGTCTATCGACAAGCTCTCTAAGCAATGGTCCACATTTCTTGATCCTTTCGCATATTTGAATGAAAATGTATACGACTCCAGGACATTTTGCGGCGCATCCTTGTCGACAAGAATGGTCAATTGGATAGCTTCAAGGATATTTTTGCGCAAAGCGTCGAAGATGCCATTCTCCTACATCAGTCAATGAGAACACCTAGTGAAAGATAGCGGGAGCGTGTATTAGGATAAGAAGGAGAAGGGTAGGAGTGATTCGCAGATCGTACCAGAACATCGAGTATCATGTCTGCCTTAGGATCCGTGCCGCGTATCATCACCTTGAGTGGCTGGCCTCTCTTTCCATTACCGAATGCGATATCTGGGTCGCCTCCATTAGTTTCATGACGTGGTTTAGGGTCGAGGAATTCTCGGTATGAATATCTGCGTTCTCGTTGGGCCTCTTTCAGGTCTCGGTCGTCGAAGCAGGGAAGTGGTAAGAACTCCCTATGATGGATACATGAGAATGGCAATCAGATTAGGGAACACGGCCGGCGACACGCACCGAAGATAAAATAATGTCCCAAACTAGTCATTGTTTTTGTAAGCAAGTATTCAAGATAGTTCAACTTGGATACGCTTACCGATACATGTAGCATAATTTGTACCATCTCTAAACTTTGTTGCTGCTTCAGAGACAAGCCCTCGGATACGGCCGACTTGGTCGGATTCTCAACTTCAGTCTGTGTCTTCTTCCGGGTAGCAGTCGAGCTCTGCTTATCGTGAAGAACTCGGGCGGACTGTACCTGAACAGCCGATGCAGGCACAGTAAACTTGATACGGGCCATGATGGGGAATCACGCATAGAAAAGAATGAAGCTGGGACAAGGAGAGCAACGATTGTTGCGGGATGATTGGTCAAACTGCGCACTCAGCTAGCGGACTGTCTATCATAGATCCAGAGTCAAGTTGACGACATAAGGTGAATACAGGTTAAGGTCACGGGAGGCTCGGGTTGTTTCCTGTCATGAGCTGTTTCGGCTTCGTTTTCTCCACCGTAATGCAGGGATTGCCTTCTGTTTGGAGCTATAGTTTACTTTTTCCTATTGATTTATTAGACATATTCCTCAGACTTGAGTTCCTTTATACATTCAGTTCAAGCCGATGCACGAAGCAGAAGTTCGTGTCGCAAGACGTGAAGTTGGAAATATAGATGTGTTCAGAAGCCGATCAAATCCCGTGACTTTGGTATGTGAACCATTCGTACCAAAAATTCCGTTTTTGGTCTTGGTTCTCCCTAGAAAGAAGGTTTTTTCTGCAGTCCCCACCGAGGATTGAGAACACCTCAGTGAAGGTATCCGACCTGTTCCAACTATCCTGGGGTAAAACGCAGCTCCACTGTTACTAGAAGACTCCAAGAAGCTTACTACTATGGAAGCTAAATATAGAAGCGGACGGTTATCGGGGACTAGCGAATACATAGACGGCTTGACACTTTTGCAGAAAAGTACTTAGTACTAGTAGTAGGACATCTGGCTGGTATACGCGACCGGCGAGAGTACGGTACGCATTTACCTTGGAAACAAAACTCCGGCTGAAACAGCAAACTGGCAAATTTCCATGGTACTTCAGATTAATCCTCCCTCATATAGAATATTGTACGAAGTACGTAACTCTCTTCCCCGCAACACAGTACTATACTGTGGATATATTACAAGACTGCTCCGCTATCACAGTTCCTGCCAATAAACTTTTCTACAGATCTGTGTCAAAGTTCTAGCCTTCTTGGGAATAAAGAATAGAATACTAGTACCTAAAGGAAGCACTCTGTAATACCCACCCATCTCGTGGTTTGGCATCTATTCTAGTCAGTGTAGTATTGCCCAGTGCAGTGCTTGTCAAACGTTGTCGAAAAGGGTATAGCGTGCCTTTTCAGGAAAAGTATTCCCAAAGGTAACTCCAAGATAGCATCAACTCCAGTTAGTAAGGTTCGAATTAGGTAGTTCTATGGAAAACAACCTGAATCTCATTTAATGCTTATCCCTATTATTTGTTGCTTAACCCTCTCACCCTGCATCGCATCCCTACGTCTTTGTGATTACCCCTGGTATCTGTAAGGAAAAATAAGTGGGCCCTTGTTACTTTTGGGTCCACTATCATCGCCGTTCTTTGCTTCATCCACTGTCTTTTTTTTTTTGGGTTGCATCAGAGAAGTCAGTTCCTTATCATTCCAGTCGAGGGCTTCTGATAAGTCTGGCCTTTGCATCGTATTGTAATCTTCGGAGTATTTCACGTATAGTGGCCCCTCCCTGAGGACGTGCAGGTTATGAGGTTCCAGTTGAAGTCATCTGAGCATAGAGGCTCCTGGTTAGGAGAGTTATGTGGAAGGGCAACAGAAAAGCAAAAAGAACTGGGGGGGGGGAAGGGAAACTGAATGAACGATTCAAGTCTAGAGAGCATGTAAGCGATGATATGTCAAAAAGACAGGATAGTTAGGTACTAGTAGTACTGTCAACCAAGTAAATTACTCATCTTGAGCATTTGCTAAGCGAAGAAATACATGTCTACTCGGGAGTATGTGTACGTGTACAGCTTCTAGTATCTCTCACCGTTCCTCATGAATAAGGTACATCACTAATGACTTAACATGGTAGAGTTTGTAGATCTTTGGGTCATAACCATGCTCTATTTATGGCTACATACCTCCGAATCCTTCTGCTGATATATATATTTTCTTTCATATCCAGGGCACCGCCTTAAGTAATACCGGAAAAATATTTCGGGGGTAAAGATGCGCTTAGAATTGGGGATTCTATATATAATATATGATTGAGACTTTGTTGGTGTTTTGTCTGATGTATCCGAACGTCCATGGGTAATCGAGTTATGATTATGTGTTAGTATTATTAGTTATGAGAAGATTTTCTGATTAATATCGATCGATTGTGCTTTGACAAGTCCCTGCGGGGGAGAGAGCCTCGGGAGTCCGCCCAATCGGGCTAATCCGCCCTAGTGTCTCCCTTGGGTAACTAACGGGATCTAATACACTGAAAAACTAAGACCACCAGAGGAGGCACGACCAACCTGGCACCTCCACCTCTCCCTCCGCCGCCACCTCCTTGTCAGCAGAGCACGCCACGGCTGTCCTTTTTTCTTTCACCCACTTTTCTCTATTTCCTCCATTCCCTTTTCTTAGTCAAGTACGACACGCCGTCCTTATGGCCGTGTTTTAATCACCGCTTTCACCCTCTTCGGCACTTAGATGGTTCTTACAGGCGTGTATGTACCGTGCTGACCGCCCTCGATATACCGGATCGTTTCCCTGGATGAGCATCACCGGCTTTTTTGATAGCAACTCACTCTTTTTGCGTTCTATTATTGTTGAGTACGACTACAAGAAAAAAAATAACGACAGTACCTTGATGTCCCTATAACTGCCGACATCGCCGAAGTCGAACCCTTATCAGCACAAGGAGACGCGTCTCCCATGCACCTCAGCTAGACATCGTTCACTGGACCCTCGATATATTCGCGCTGGACATACAATATGGACGATCAAGACAATAACAGTGGGCTTGATAATGTGTCAAAGACTGGCTCTGTCGGTCAATTTTCATTTGCCCCTGCTACTCGAACTACCGTTGTGACCACCACGACTACTACGACGACGACTTTCCCTCCGTTATTTATAAAGCCACCCCGCGCAACGCGAGAACTTGACCCTAAGCTGTATCCTCTAGCATCATCCCCCACTCCTTCGTCGTTGAGGAACATCAAATTTGAGATTGGAGGTCATTCCATCGTATTCAATGAACCAGATGATACCGTAAGCGCCGTCAATGAGGTACGTTTTTTATCTAGTTGTCGCTGGTTTGGCTATTCTGCCCATCTGGCCTTCACTAATGTGCTGCTCGTAGTTGAGGGAAAAGGACGATGCGTTGAGAGCCTCTAACGGCCTAGTTCGATCTGTGACTTCAATATGTTCTGATGATACTCAGCTTCCTCGTCGATTTGCTCCTCCCAAAGGGTTTAGTCAACCATCCAATCAGCAGTCGAACTCTAAGCAACGTCGTGCACTAGCAGTCCCAGAAACTCGTCAGGGCTCTTTGCGACCGTATCCTGCCAGAGTTCCATCAGAACATTCGATTCGCTCGACCCGTTCACATGGCTCCACACCAACACATCCTGTGGTGGCTGGTTTGGCGACGCCTGAAACGGAAAGCAACAACTATAGTGCAGGTGAAAGCGTATTACCTAGGAGGAGAATTCACAGTGCGAATGCGTCTCGCAGGGAACCACTGCTACGCCCACCTCTGTCTTCCGGAGTCGAATCCCAGGAGGGCTCCAGAGCTCCCAGTACTAGAAAAGACCAACCTGAATCGACTGTTGTCCCCGAAAGGAGCAGACGCTTGACACGTTCAGAGGGTGACCCAAGCAGGCTAGCCATTCCGCAAGAGCTAGAGACAGACGGCGGGCCAGAAGATGAATCGGGAACTTCCACGAGCCAAGATACTGGATATGAAACGTCTCAGGAAGCTCCCCAGCAAAGCTCTCTGGAGTCGATATCACAATTCACAAACCTTGGTGGCGTGACTGTCCAGGACATGTGCCTACCAAGCCCCAGCTTGTCCCCCGTGGCTGCGATGAATGCAATGAATGTCGACTCGTCCTTTGATTCGGCCGAGGATCCCGAAGCCGATACAGATTCCAGCTTCGACAACAACGATCATCGCATTGTGAGCTCTCTACGTGCAGAAGAACTGAGGACTACTGCTCCGCACCGTTCCAGACCTAGCCTTTTACCCACAAGTTCCGATACACTACGGCCGACGTCGTTAATGGATATTCCCAGTGTGTTAGACTTCTTCGACTCTGTTCCCGAAGGGCTGAAGACCTACCTTATGTACCAGTTGCTGAGGCGGTGTCCGAAGCCGACTCTGCATTTCGTTGCTGATGTCGTCAATCCAGCCTTAAAATGCGATTTCCTGGCTCTTCTGCCGCTTGAACTAAGCCTAAATATTGTGAAATACTTTGACGTTCAGACAATGTGCCGTGCCGCACAAGTTTCTAAGAAATGGAGGCATATCATCAATTCTGATGAAAAGAGTTGGAAGGAACTTTTCGATAGAGATGGATATGTTCTCCCAGAAGGAGAGCTGGAGCGTGCAATTAGGGAAGGGTGGGGATGGCAGTTTCCCAACGGGGGCGAAGATTACGAGAGGGACCTAAGCATGTCGTCTCCTGTAATCAAACCTGATCCCGAGTCCGGTTCTCCTTCTCTGCAACCACTGCCAGGGCCTAGTGATAGGCCGACGTCTGCGCATCGCCGCCCGAAAAGAAAAGCATGCACACGAGTCTCTAGCCGCAAGCTTGCGAAACGAAAATTATCATCCAGCGGGACCGATAATCCCGAATCCTCTGATTGGAGAATGTCAGTCACTGCGGTAGAAGGGCCCTATGCTGCCGCGAACGCTGCAGCCGCAGCTGTTCCATATCCAGATATTGGCTTACCGTCCCTGCGAGGGCTGCATCTTTACAAATCCCTCTACCAGCGGCACCACTTAATCCATACAAGTTGGATGAAACCCAATGTGAAACCACGTCATATCGCTTTTCGAGCCCATGACCGTCATGTTGTCACTTGTCTCCAGTTTGATACGGATAAGGTTTTGACTGGCAGTGATGATACCAATATCAATGTGTACGACACTAGGACTGGAGCTTTGAGGGCGACGCTTGAGGGACATGAGGGTGGTGTTTGGGCCCTCGAGTACTACGGTAATACTCTGGTTTCTGGTTCGACTGATAGATCAGTGAGAGTTTGGGATATCGAAAGGGCGAGGTGTACTCAGATTTTTCACGGTCATACGTCCACAGTACGATGCTTGCAAATTGTTCTACCGACAGAAGTGGGGAAAAAGGCAGACGGCACCCCTGAGATGATGCCAAAGGAGCCCTTGATCATCACTGGCTCACGAGACTCAAATCTTCGAATTTGGAAGCTTCCTAAACCGGGTGATCCTGTCTACTACCAAAGCGGACCACACGGCGACGATACCGACTGCCCCTACTTTGTCCGCGTTCTTGCAGGGCACCAGCACTCCGTCCGCACGATCGCTGCGCACGGGGATACTCTAGTGAGCGGAAGCTATGACTGCACGGTGAGAGTCTGGAAGATTTCCACTGGAGAAGCTCTTCACCGACTCCAAGGCCATTCCTTAAAAGTGTACAGCGTGGTGCTAGACCACAAAAGAAACCGCTGTATTAGTGGCTCCATGGATAACATGGTGAAAGTGTGGTCCCTCGAAACCGGAGCTCTTTTGTACGACCTTGAGGGCCACTCCTCCCTGGTTGGGCTGCTTGACCTGAAGTGTGATCGACTGGTCTCAGCAGCTGCAGATTCGACCCTGAGGATTTGGGATCCAGAAAATGGTAAATGCAAAAACATGCTGAGCGCTCATACAGGTGCTATCACATGCTTTCAGCATGATGGCCAGAAGGTTATCTCAGGATCTGATAGGACATTAAAAATGTGGGATGTGCGGACTGGAGAGTGCGTGCGAGATCTTCTCACCGACCTTAGCGGGGTATGGCAGGTCAAGTTCAACGACCGAAAATGTGTTGCTGCGGTGCAGCGTGATAGTTTGACTTATATCGAGGTAGGCTCAGTTGGTTAGGTATCTGCTTTTTCCCTCGCTGACTTGATTCTCGTGCAGGTTCTCGACTTTGGTGCTTCTCGCGACGCGGTACCAGAGGATCAGCTAGGCAGACGTATAGTCGTTAATCGCTGGGGCCAGGAAGTCAGCGATGCTGACGAAGACTATGATCTGTCTGATGCCTGATACTATCGCAGCAGCCAGAGCTTGCTCTCGTTTCACCGCTTGGTAGGGCCCTGTATGCCGCGCATGCCCTGCGTTGACGTTGACGAATATCGTCACCACCGGTGGTTTCTTTCTTTTCTGGACTTGGAGGCATGAAATATTAATGATACCCAATCTCAAGGAGTTGCTCTCTTCATTATACTTTGCATAGCGCGGTTGGCATACTTTTGACATGCTGTTATGATGACCAGGCGTTTTGGTATCCAAAATGATTATTTATCACACTCTTACCCGTTTACTACATTATATCCTACTATGACCCCTCACCTTTGCGCCATGTTTCGTGCCACTGCTATATCTCACATGCATATCTCTAAATTTGATCACCAGAGACAAGCGCATCAGCTTTTCCTGTATGCCTGATGATCGGTTCTTATAGAATACATACTATTGACATTTTTATTTTATGAGTCCCACAAGTAACGAAAAGGAGGACATTGGTTTGGTGATATTCTTATGTATTTATAAGCTCCAAATGCCGGCAGTCTGGATGCCAACTCTACACCGACAAAAAGGTGGTCTACCTCATTGATAGAAGCAGTGCCATCACTAACGATGAATAAGCAAAGATATTCATGCCTGGATCTCTAGGTTTCGAAGGACCAATCCCTCGCCGTCATGAGATCAGACCCATTTCGAGTTCTCCACGACAAGTGGTTATTCAACAACCATGTCAACTCAATATAGCTACCTAAGCTGAAAAGGCGGGCGTAGACTCTATTCAATGGTGGCTCTAGGAGACGCAAAACTTCCGTGGGGAAGTTTAGATGAAAGAGATCCGCCGTAAATTGCCATGCTGACGGACCGCAACCTAATGTTAACAACCCTCAAAGCTGCTACTAAGGAGTAAGTACTGCTTGCAGGACCTGGCATTGATTGCCACCTTATGGGATTCACCCTGTGATTAGATGTTATAAGCAAGTCACCTCCGCGGTTTAACTGACTCCTTTTCAAAGACAGGAGTGCTTCTTGAACTACATTCAAGATGCAGTGGTAGAGATGTGAGCAACCTGCGACTCGGTGGGTACGGGTTGCGCTTTCATATTCCCATCAAATCCAGCAGCCGACAGAATAGCCCAGCGGATTGCGCTGATCCCTAACGACTTTCCGGGGCCGATGGGCGTCTCTGCACTGCATGTCAGGATCTCACCTAAGGCACCAGGTCCTTCCAACCGACCATCAGGTTGAAGGATTGGTCTATAACTTTGCAGCAAGTTCTGTAGTGTAGCGACTTTTGCCGCTGATGCTCCGCTCTTCACCTGACTCTTCTTCTTAGCCAAAATCTTATCCACTTTTGACATGATGATCTGGTGCGGAATGGCATGTTTCCGAAAAAGCATGAGGATGTCCTCGTCTTTCTTCTTAAGACCATGTAAGCTATCTATAAGGAGAAAAGCCCGTCGAAGTCTAGGATCGCGGGTTTACAAGTCAGCTTGGGTGGATCGAATATCCCGAGTACAACCGGGGATGTACTCACTGCCTCCTTCCCTGAAGATACTTCATAATCTCGATACCCCATTCCGTCCTACTCGCTTTTCCATACCCCGGCATATCAAGCAGAACAATTTTCGACTCGCCGCCTTTCGTACCCCCGATTCCGAACGCATTCATCTCTCTCGTTCTCCCCGGTTTTGAAGAAGTCCAGCATATCTCCTTGCCCATGATGGCGTTCAATAATGAGCTTTTCCCGACATTCGAGCGACCAAGGAAGGCAACTTCAGGCTCTACAGACGACATAGGAGTAGTGCGGAATTTGCTAGCGGACCATATTTTGATCGGGGAGTGGCGAGAAGGTGCGAAGAATTTGTCGGCGTAGGTTAAGTCAGTTTCATTTGGTACTCGAGTATCCCAGTAGTAGGAGATATCCGCAGGAGATAAGTCGTGGAGTGGAACTTTGTTCGGGTTCGAGGGAGGATTCGGGGTGATGGCGGTTGAGAGGGCTCGTCGGAGAGCGAAAGGAAGTCGTTTGCTCGAGCAAGCTGTACATCTGTATATTGTGTGCTTCATCATGAGATCACTGATTTTGGTCTTGTATGAGAGCGATAGGTGGAGTATCAAGATATAGATCAGTAAAGAAACGACAGCATTGTGTTTGCGCTCCGAGAGCTTCTCCAGATAAAATCCAGGATAAGAAAGTCTTCCGAGCACTGGGGAGATCTCGGAAGGGTATTTCTGCCGACAAGCCGCCCCGCGGATTCAGGCCGATAAGAGAGAGAGCTTACAATAACTCCGTAGCGTCAACTGATATATTAATATCAACTTCATACAATATTCTAGAATCCCTTTGCGCAGTTGAACAGAGATATACGATACATAAAACGTCAGAATGATCAACGCGGTTCTCGTCTTCAACAATAATGGGCAGCCGCGCCTGAGCAAGTTCTACACCCAGATTGTTAGTTGGTTAAATATGCACGTCCTTTACTAGGCAAACTAGCTAATACAAGACCACTTTGAAAATAGGATACACAAACGAAACAATCGCTTATACAACAGACCTACGCTCTAGTCGCCCAGCGTCCACCAAGCGCTTGCAACTTCCTGCCTCTCCCTCCATTACTCTCTCGGGGTGCTAGCTCCGGCGCAGAGGGCCCATCCGATGCCCCAACACAAGTGACCTACCGGACATATGCAACTCTTTCTTTCATTATGATTTCAACATCTACCGAGTCCCCGCTTGCGCTTATTGATCTGATTCAAGTCTTCGTCGAGGCGCTGGACCGCATATTCGAGAATGTATGCGAGCTGGATCTTATCTTCGGGTATGAAACGATGCATGCGGTGCTGAGTGAGATGATTGTCGGTGGCGTTGTCGTCGAAACGAATATCGATAAGATTGTTGCTGGGGTGCGGAGTCAAGAGGGCTCTCTAGGGAAGAAGAAGGCTATCCAGGCAGCAAGTTCTAGCGTAGGGCGCGGCGGGTTCCCTGGTATAGGTGCTTGGAGGTGATTTTCTATGATATATATATCTTCTTGTCTTTTTCTAAATTACAATATGCATGTTTGGTTCTTTGAATGGCAAGTTATGGGTTGGAGTTCAGGCGAAATGTGATATGATAGTATGTCCCTGGCACTTGCTATTATGACAGAGGAGTTTATCTAACAAGAGAAATAGAAGTACCGTGTCACCTAGAGAGGCGGGAAGCCATACGCTGTCCAGTTTTCAAGCACCTTTTTCTTAACGTCCTCCGGGTAGGCACCCTGGAAAGATCCTTCTTTCCATGGCAGCGTTTTTTCTGTAAACTCACTGGGCAGCATACAGCATTTGACAACTTTCCCATTCGTTCCGGACTTGGACGGCAAGCCGTGTGTGACATAGGGTATGAGGGGGATGTTGGAATATTCGGTGAAAATAAACTCATGCCTGCCAGGCTCACAACGTGTTGCTTCAGCCCAGATGACATCTGAGAGATTGGTTGGATCAATGTAGTCGTTTACCAAGAAGATCTTCGGGATAAACCATCCTGGCTTGGAACCGAATACGGTATGTCCTAATTTGTGGCAGAATTCCTCCATATTCGTGCCCATTTCCACAAGTTTCGAGTGATTCACCTGGAGAACAAACCACAAGCAATGTGATTCAAACGGACACCAAACCATATTGATAGGAAGGCCGGCCTTCTGGCAGATGTTAAGGACCTCTGCAGCTTGCATTGTACACCAGATGGTGGAATTTTCGTCTGGAGCTCGGCCCGCGACGCAGATTGGAAGAATAGGATCGTTGCGGTAAGTAATGGTGTTGACCTTGAAGATAGGGCACTGAGTTTGTTGTCCGGGGAAAACCATGCCATTATATTCGACCATGGGGCCTTCTGGAGCAGTTTCACTAATCGAAACCACCCCTTCAAACACAATCTCTGCATTGGCCGGCACCCAGAGATCGTTTGTTTCGCACTTAACAATGTCAACTGGAGCGTCGGTCAAGGCACCGATGAATTCCGGCTCGTTGGTCCACTTGGGAATGGGCATGCCGCCGACCATGATGGCCGCAGGCGGCACTCCGAAACATACAGCCCATGGCATGTCTTCGCCTTTCTCCTTCCAAAGGTTGAATATTGTCCCAATGTCCTGTCTTGGGATCACCAGTCCAACCAGCTCACGCTTGCCGTGAACCATGCCCCTACTGATGGACCAATTAGTCCATTTCCCATCAGGGCTCTGTACGACATGCATGCCCATTGTTTCGATGAATTTGCCTCCGTCATGCTCATGCAAAAGTGGGACAGGCAACTGCGTCAGATCTATATCATCACCATGAATAATATGATCTTTGACGGGGCCCGTCTCGAGTTTCCGGCATGGGATTGGAGGCTTCGACTTGGCCTCATTGATCCTGTGGATGATCTCATGGCCAGTAGCAGAGGATGGAAGCCCAAGCGACTTAGCCAATCGACAAAGCTGCATGCCAGGACGCTTGCTGTACCCTATGGAGGCTCCGATGACGCGAAACAACCCGTTGTCCTTACGGCCTTTAGGGTTTGTGAACAACGGGGCTCGCTCTCCGGTTTCACACACTTTTCGCACGATGGCTGCGAGCTCCAGGTTGGGGTCGACTTCCTTGGTAATTGTCAGGAGCTCTCCTTCATCTTCCAGCTCTTGAATGAAACGGCGGAAGTCTTTCGCAGCAGCAGTGTAGTCCATATTGCCTGGAAACCTTCGTGGGCACGGAATCGACGATAGGACAAGGTAGCAAATTTAGACAAGGTCCGATCTTTGTCTTCGTAACAAACCCGAAAGCATTAAATTTTACATTGTAATTCCATTCTACTTAAATAGTAACGCCCTCTGTCTCGTGCGCTACGACAGGCATCATACCATAGTCCTTGCATAACTCAACGTCAACATGCAGTCGGAACAATCACCCGAGTTTCCCCAATTTGGGGATCTCGAGACCACCACGTACCCCAATTCGCTATTGATCGGCCCCGCAACCGAGCAGCTGACCCTATAATACTAGCAGCTATGGTATAGCTGCATACGCTGCTGCAAGAATATTAAATGTCGTCAATGGGGTAGAATTGCTGAAAATTTTTCTCCAATTCTTGTTTTCGCTTAGACAGGCTCTAGATATCACGACAACAATATGGGGAGGTAACTACCAAAATGTTGAGGATATTTCCCCAAAGCATAACCTGGAATCCACAAGAAAGATAGCTATAGGCTAGTTCAGTTCGTCTGTCCTATAGTATACCCGCATAGGTATACAGTATAAGGCCGGCACTGCAGTCCATCGCAAACTCCAACCTCAGAACACCAAATGTACCGTCGCACAAGATGGGCTGGATTGGCAGTGCTATCATCGTCCTTGTAGGGAGCCTTCTCTACTTAACAAACCGGTTCCCCAATCTACGCATATCTCGGTTCCCCTACAAATGGGACACAAAGGCACCAGCCATGGCAATGACAGAGACAACCCCACAATCCACACGTCTTCAAACCCAACCAGCCCGGCCAATGCGAATCATCGTCGCAATGACAGGCGCAACGGGGGCAATCCTAGGCATCCGCCTCCTCGAACGCCTGCGAGAAATGAACGTCGAAACGCACCTAGTCATCAGCCGCTGGGCGGTCGAGACAATCAAATACGAAACCAAGTATACAGCGAACGACGTACGCGCCCTCGCTACCCGAACCTACCCGGTGAATGATGCCGCCGCCGCCATCTCGAGCGGTTCGTTTCAGGCTGACGGGATGATCATCGTGCCGTGCAGTATGAGGACGCTGAGCGCGGTGCGGACGGGGTTCGCCGATGACTTGATCTGCAGAGCGGCCGATGTAACGTTGAAGGAGAGGAGGAAACTTGTATTGGTCGTGAGGGAGACGCCGCTCAGTGGCATTCACTTGGAGAATATGTTGGATCTAACCCGTTATGGAGCGGTGATCTTTCCGCCCATGCCTGCGTTTTATACGATGCCGCAGAGCGTGGATGATATCGTTACGCAGAGTGTGGGCAGGATGTTGGATATGTTTGGCTTGGATGCTGGGAATTTCGAACGGTGGGATGGGTTTTGATCACATTTTACTAGCAGTTACGTGGTGTTTTTATAGAGGTTATCTTGTGTGACTGTCTGTTGGTGGGGTGTGCATTTATTAATCTACAGCAATCAATGTTTATATAGCACTAGTCCTTCCCTCTTGCAACCATCTTTATCTGTGCCGATCTTGATATCGCAATAGACCAATACAGGCTACTAGGGCAAAGGACCCGTGGGCCCGTATCCACTTCCTTTCTATATTTAGACGCATACGCTGCCTGAAAAGTAGACCTGGCTTGTGAACTATGGCAGATGAACAAGTAGCATTATATCTTCAACCCTTGCATTAGAACTATCAAGGCCAGTGGCTTTAAAGGATAGATCTAGAATAGCAGAACCTGCTCTGGAATATGTAGTGCGAACATGTCAGGACCCAGAACCTAAACGTTTGAATGAGTGCTTACTTTGGGCTGGGTTGCAAGAATAGGTCAGGAGGGGCTCTTCTTTCCATTAGTATCAGGTAGATTGCAATGTTGCGTACATAGACGGGAACCATTATTTGGGCAAAAGATAATACCAGAAAGGGCCTGTGGCCTTTCATATTATTCCGTATTCCTCGAATAGGCTAGTCTGGACAAACCTTGACGCGTATTTTTCTTTTCTCTTGCCTGTGATATTATACAATAGCAACCATATCATTACTCTAAACATTATAGTAGCTATCTTCCAGGTCTAGATCTTTCTTCATATAATCCTGTATATGCAAGGCCTGAGACATTGGGAGTATAACCATTCTTCTATTGATTAGGGTTCAGATCCCCAACCTACCCAACAATTGCAGACAATAGACGGATGTGATAGAACAACTGTTGTAACAGATTAATGAACTCCCAAATATATGAGTTATTCTGCACTTCAACTTATACCGCAGTTATCATGGCCCCAGTCCCAATTGATCTAAGTGGGAGATTCACACATCAATAGACATATGCGCCCCATGCGCCCCCGTACATGGCCAACTAACCAACCTTCTGTCATCTGCAGACAGTACCAAAGGCTGCGATCAATGCACCTTCCTCCGCGGAGTATGTTCCGCACATCTTAATGAATGAAGCGAAACAGGCGACGGCTGTCGGAAGCTGGCTTTCCGACACTGGGCAACTGTCAGGTGGGCTCACTAGCCTTGAAAGGCAAGAGAACAGCCGAGAGGGCCCCAGAAAAGTACCCCAGAACCCAGCACTGATGCCCTCCATTGGGCTCGGCTCGGTGTCCCCTTGTCGATCTGCAGTGGAGATGCCTCTCTAAGGACCCAATAGAGAGACAATACCTATCGGCTTCGGCTTTTGGAATGGAGCGAAAACTCCGAGCGAGGCCATTCATTGTTACCAGAACATCAATGCAATGCATTAATGTGACAAAAGTGTCATGTAAAGGTCCGCCATGGTGGAGTAGGCTTTTCAGCACTGATTGGTGTAGTCGCAACCCCATAACCGGGGTTTGATTATGACAGGCTCGTCCGGGGCGCCGGTCTGCTGACCAGGTCCACGCCTACTGCATGATAACAAGATTGTCCCTAAGGTATCTGTAAGAAACGAAATCATCCACCTCGGAGATGACTTACCAAGTCCCCATACCCTACGCCGAAGTTCCATCAGAGTGACATCCACTCCCTAAACTCATGTTTGATTGGCTGATGATCGTTATTCGGAGGGCTACCAGCGGTTATGGACTGCGCGAAAGTTTCGGCAGGAGTAATCATGGCGTTTCTAACGGAAGTGAGTGGAGCATAAACCTACTTAAATAGCATCGAAGCTCCTCGATCACACCATCGCTTTACGGGATTTCACCATCCAGTTCTTCTTTGATTGATCCAGTCAAGTTTAAGCTTATCGATCCCCTATACTTCAATATGGCCCCCCGTCGACTTCTCCTCGTCAGCAATCCCCGTACAGCATCCAATCTCCTTCTGAAGATC